CACTCCCCAGGCCCCGCCCCTCGCCCCACCCCTGGGGTCCGTCCGTGGGTTCGGGCCTCGTGGCAGTGTTTTCCCGCGTCGGCGCGCGTCCGGACCTGCGCCAAAGCTTCTGGCGTGATACACTGAAGAGCAAGAGCCACTGTGTCTGCTCGCGAGGAGTCTCGATTCCTGTGGGGAGGAGACCGACCGCAACAAGTAAACCCGAATAAGTACATGCCGCACAAACCGCGGTACGGTTTGCAGGAAACCGAGTCGGGTAAAGTAGTCAGAAGGCCTCTGGAGAGGTGACTCTTAAGCCAAAGCTTAAGGATAGGAAACAGCAAAGACAAAGACTGGGACGGGGTGTCCCACAAACTGAAAAACCTAAAAAACGGCTTGCGCTATTGGAGCCCTTGAAAGGAGGCCAATGAGACCAGGGCAGTGCGAAATGAGAGGAGAAGGGAAGGTGGAGGGGTTGGAGAGTTAGGCCTTGACAGAGCATTGAGGCCTCTTCGTTATGGAAGGAAATGTGCTCTGTGTACTGATTGCAGTGAAAAGCCCCTTAGCTCCATTTCCCGGCCCCCTTCATTAGGGAAAACGCTTGAGGAGAAGAAAACGAGTCCAAGAACTGAGCCTTGGTGAACACAGACCTTTAAAAGTTGGAGGAAACTAAGAAGAAACACTAGAAGGTAGGAGAAAAACCAGGAGAATGTGGTGTCCCAGCAGAGAGGAGAATGGGGTGGAATTTTGATGATGTTCTAGAGAACACTGTATCAAAAGCAGACGCATACAGATAAATTGGACTTGGCAACAGGAAAACACTGATGGTCTTGCTCAAAGCAGATCATGCACTATATTTAATGTAAAATTAGATTGAAAGTAAAATGGAAAGGACATAGAGGTCAAAGCAGTTCATGTAAGAGGTTAGCATGTTGTCTAAGGTGGTAGCTACTAGCTATACGCTATTTTAATTCATTACATCAAGCAAAATTAAAAATTCAATTCCTGGGACCAGCAGTTAGCGTAATGGCTATGTCGCTGGACTCCCATGTAGCTGACTGCAGTTCGCGCCCTGGACCCGGTGGCTTAAAATTCACGCCGGGCACGTGTGCGTGCGTGCGTGCCCAAGATCCTGAGAGGAGAATGGATGAGAAGGGATTGCACCCTGGGGGGTGACTTCTCGCTTTCTGTCTCTCTGTCTCTCTCTGACTGTCTGGCGAGTGCATGCGCCCTATAGCAAAAACTTCTCAAAAAAAAAAAAAAATTCAATTCCTTGGCCCAGCAGGTCACGGAGTGGTGGTTAAGGCACTGGATTTTCACATGGTGCAACATGGTTCAATTCCCGGACCTCCAGCTTTAAAAAATTATGCCAGGAGCATGTGCCTTCTTGCTCCAGATCCCAGGACAGGAAAGGAAAAGGGATTCCATCATGGGCATCCCTCCTGGGGGGTTATTTTCTCACTTTCCCTCTCTGTCTAGATCTCTCTCCAGCAAGTGATGCACCCTCTAGCAAATTTTTAAAAAATATATAAATACCATCTTTACCATGCAGACTATACCAAGACAAACACCCATAGATTATAGTTTGTGGACCACTCGTGACCTAGCAGAATAGCTGTTGTTAAAATCGCGACTCACTCCCCAGGCCCCGCCCCTCGCCCCACCCCTGGGGTCCGTCCGTGGGTTCGGGCCTCGTGGCAGTGTTTTCCCGCGTCGGCGCGCGTCCGGACCTGCGCCAAAGCTTCTGGCGTGATACACTGAAGAGCAAGAGCCACTGTGTCTGCTCGCGAGGAGTCTCGATTCCTGTGGGGAGGAGACCGACCGCAACAAGTAAACCCGAATAAGTACATGCCGCCCAAAC